CCCACACCTACACCCCTAACCCACACCTACACCCCTAACCCATTCTACATTTGCACTCGTTAACTAACGAATCTTGCTCACGCACACGCAGTAAATGTGGGCATGCCTGTGCTGATTGTGTAACACGGACAGACTCCCGCCTGCACACATACCTCATGTGTAATATCCCCCCCCCCCCCACACACACACACACACACACACTCACACACAATGGCTCGTCCATGCAGATGCCCTCGATGGGACTTTCCCGCCTGGAATACAAAACCCTGTTTAACTCGTTAACTCGCCGTCATGCGGGCAAGCCAAACATCCAGGAAGGAGCAACCTTTGAAGGTCAAGAAATGCAGGCGTCGCACTGCATCTTTGAATACCTTTTATTATTATTATTTCCCCCCCCGCCCACGAGGGCAGACCTGCACTGGGACCCTGAGTCTCAGCTGGCGCATTTCGCCGCCAAATTGAAACGGCGATCTGAGCAGCGGAGTCGGGCCCGCAGCCCAGCAGAAGTCCCTTGGCTTTGAATCAGTCTGTGCAGTAATTTTGACCATCTGATTAAATATATATGCGGGTTTCAGGTCCACTTTCAACTTATATAAAGCCACACAATCAGACGGAAGCGATCCTGGCCGATGGCCCACAGGCAACGTGACACAAAGAGACGCGCAGTATCGTTGCGATCCACGTTACAGCACTTCCCTTTGATTTTAGTCTGGGAGGGGGGCAGAGATGGGAGGAAGATGGCTGCAGATCCTGGCTACTTAAGGCGGGAGAGGCCAGGAGGCGAACCGCAGCGGCACTGAAGCCTGTAATCAGCCATCGTCTGCTCCCCAAACCTGCTTCACTAGCCGAAACTCCAGAATCTCTCAGAATATACAATATGCTGCACATTCTTCGGCACGTTCCTTAGCCGTCCGCCTCTCGGCCTTGACATGAGTGCTGCCCCAGTCCCATGTCCGCAGCCTCCTCTGGCATCCCGCTTGTCCGCGGCCTCCTCTGGCATCCCGCTTGACTGCATTTTGTCGCCTTGCACACTAGTGGATCCCAGCTTTCCGATTTGTTTACCCAGACCCCTCCTCCATTCCAGCCTCCACCCACCCCGCCACGCCTCCCAGCGGAGAGTCGGCTCGTGGAGGGCATGTTCGCTTGCGTGGCGGGTTGCGTAGGGCGTCTCAGAAAGCACAGGAGATGACGGCCCTTGTTGTTTTTTTATTTTGCCGCGTACGGCTGCCTCCTGTACATCATGTGACCAAGGCAGAAGACAGCCACAGTCCTCCCAGTGACAGTGTGCACCTATCATCTCTGTACGTCTATTTCAGGAGCATGAATAGCATGAATATGTATTTTCTCTGAAACCAATTTACAAAATAAACCCAAAGCAAAGTAATGAATCAGCCTTAGTTCCACAAATAGAGACCTATCTTTTCTACAGCCAAAGTGAATGGTTTACTGTATTAAATCGACTTGAGTGGATCATTGTCAACAAGGTACAAACTTATTAATTTCACTTTATATTAACAATAACAGTGATGTCAGTTGTGTAGCTATCAACTTTGAGTTATCATTAGAGTTAAATGGAAGGGTCATATACAGAACACCCCCCCCCCCCCAAACAGAACACAAACAGTTCAGTGTTATGCCCATTTCCTAACACACCTTTCAACGCACCACACACACATAATAGCAACAACAAACAGGTCACTTCAGCCGACTTCCTCAATTTCAGGCTCATTGACACTTTCTCTGGCTTTGTGTTTGGAGACTTTAGGGGGGGTGGGGGGGGGGGGGGTTCGCAGGGATATAAAGTATCCAGAGCACCACCTGCCTTAGCTGTTCGTATTCAGTTATGTTGGGCTTCTTTTGGAGGGGAGAGGATTACAGGGCCATGAGTTTGTCAAGGAAGTCGATTTGTGATGTTATAGAAGGAAGTCAGTGCTGATGGATGTGTACCACCAGGCAGGGGGGCAGATCATCTAGACGTGAGCCTACTTCGAGAGAGAACTTTCTCTAATTCACATGGTGGTTTGGTGCTGGAAGTAATGAAGTAGAAAAAATGAGTCAGGCCCTGAGGCACAGTAAAAGATTTGTGCCCCCCCCACCCCAGGGACCTGATGCTCCACCACCCCCTCCCCCCTACCAGCTCACTTTTTTTTCCCTCCCCTAAGGCCAGTCCCAAGAATGCTTCAGACATCTCGATGTAGGTTAAATAGGTTGGCTTGGGGCAGGTCGAGAACTTCCTGGAGGAGATGTGGCTGTGGGGAGGGGGTCATGGAGTATTTGAGTTCTGAGAAAGCTAGAAAAGCAAAGTTTGAGGTCCGATCCCAAACCACAGCGATGGGGTTACTCACCCTGATCTCTGGGTTCAGTGACTGAATAGCAGAGCTGAATAATAGTAGGATGTAAGATAATGATGCGGTCCGTCGTCAGACACAGGCCCTTTGTGCCTGCAGATATTGTTGCCTACTGCTGCTTTCTGCTGAGAAAATGGGCTCCTGAGCCAGCTGGGCCACAATACATAATCCTGTTTCAGATTGTGGACCCTGGATTGGTGCTCCAGGAATATAGCATATAGACGACGTGATTTCTCTAAAGACGCTTCAGGCTGTGGCTTCAAAGAAATAAAAGTTAATTCGATTTATGTATCTAGTCACCTATGAAAAGCCCTCTGAATTATGTGAGGTTGAAGGTGCGTAACCATTTCAGCCAGGGTCCTGCCTCATCATGGCTGATTTCTCTATTGCGCCATGTGCCGCTCAGTCTTGGATATTCTTCAGTTGCTGTTCTGCTCTTCTCTGACTTTCTGTTCTGGTCCATCATGGTGTCCGATGGCCAGAATCATCTTGCCAGAAAAGTATTGATCTGGAACTGAGTGTTTAGACTGGCGAATGAATCTTTCTCCCTTAGTTAATATTACTTGTGCCTGGTGTCCTCTGTGTTTACTCATGTCCCTGGCTCCCTGGGTCCAACTTGGGGCCAGTCCCAGCAGGATCTGCGCTGACTTTTCCCGCACTTACTGCGATCTGCCGCGGCTCTCGTCTCTATGCCTGCCATGCGCTGTCACACCTTAGCCGAGACTTCGAGCTCGTGCCTGCGAACGTCGAGGCACTGACGGGTGAAACGTGATTTTCTTCACACTGAGGTTCATCACGTCTAGATGCATCCTGATTGGCCAGTGGCACGTGTGAGTGACTGTGAAGCATACTGTGAAGATCGCATGTCTGACAAAGAGAGCAGAGGCAGTTATGTTTGCGTGCCTTAATCAAAGGGTGACCTCAGGAAGTCAACATGAGTGCCAGATGACCCAGAAGCGTGTTTCTGGCTGGGACGTCATGTTGCTGGTCCTTCGCTTGGTTTATTTGTGGAGGGAGGGACCTCAGTGGACTATTAGGAGCATTAACTCATTTAATACTCAAGGGGGTGCTGCCTAAATGTCTTCATCTGTCCTGCCAAGTGTATACAGAGCCAAGCAGAAGGAGAACAAGCTGCTCTCGTTGCCTGTGTGTTTACAGTGTGACGTCCCCTCGCGGCCACAGCCCGCTCCCCCCAGCATCGAGGAGGTCCGGCTGTCTCTAAATACCAACCCGTCCCCTCGGGTTCCCTCCAAGCATCACAACAATGATAGTCTTTTCAGCTATATGCTTATGGCTCTCATCCAGATGGTGTCAGGATGCTTGCAGGAAGTCCGTCTTGGGGGCGATTCCAGTTATTTCCTAGACTTCACCATTTGTATGATTCATGACTTCACCTTCTGAACCTCTGTCTTGTGTCCTTCCCTTCCTCCCTCCCCAGTCTCTCTTTCCAGTTTTCCACTTTCAGCACTGCGGCATGTTTGTGTTGCCGAAACCAGTTAATTAGCCTGACGAATCTTTATGATCGATTTTAACGGCACGAATTGGAGCCCAGGAAAAGGCTTGTTAATGCTGACGATCTCTGTCTTTCTCTGTTTCAGGAGGTGGACATGTTGGACATAAGTTACATCAGAGACACCAGGACAGGGAAGTATGCCAAAATCCCAAAGGTAATGACCAATGGTGAAGAAAATACAGTAATGGGGAAGTGAGGTTTGGGTAGGTCAGATTTTGAAATGCCTATAGTATAACTTTGGCGGGAGGCAGTTGCATGTCGATGGACGTCTTGGTCACAGACAGACTGGGACAAAGGAGGACAGAGTGTGATAAATGCAGCACAAATGTCGCTTTTCCCCCCAGCCCTCATGGATAGTTAGTTCTGATATGTGTAAATGCATCATAGTAGAAAACAGCACAAGGAGACTGCAGTTTCATTCACTCAACTGGTGGAATAATATCTATTACATTCAGTGCTAATTAATGAAGATCTCCAGTTGCTACATTTACTGTTTTTTTTTTTTTTCTCCAAAATTTTTAGAGAGAGGCCCATAAAAGTGGACAAAAACAGTAGTGGTGCCGAATAATTCAAATATTTGTCATTCCCTGCTTTGGGGAATGTTGTGTGAACAATTCTGCCATTATCCATAAAGTAATGAAATCAAATACGACTGCTCTGGGCTGGTCTCGCTCAGTCATGAGGACGGGTCGGTGTAACTGGCCTGCAGTTTTTCTGGCGCTGTGGCCCCTGTCATGAGGTCTGGGGTCAAAGGTCAGGACATTTCCCAGAGGGCCATGGGGGTCAGATGATACCGCATAAGGATGCAGTCCACAGCATGCAAGCTTTTTCAGTGGGTAACTCCTCTATCATGGATCCATGGAGATCAAACAGATCGAGATTTACTTCTGGTAGCAATATGGCAGGAGAATCTGAAGACATCTTTACCCTAAATCTGACAACAGTTAAGGCCTCTATCCTCTAACTCACTGACTCTCTTCTCTGCACGGATCCATAAGAAAGTCCCACGGCATCTCCTCCAATGCCCACAGGTTCTGTGCAGCATAGACATACCTCTCTGGGGTAACCACCACACTGTCTGGCCCTTTTTGTAAGGCTGTCTTGGGAGAATCCTGGCTGCCTTAGACATCCAGCGATTCCTTTAAACGGGAGAGGGAAGATCTTAATAGCCGTATGTCATCTTCCATATCTCTCCGCAGCTTGTCCTGAAACGCATTATGTCTATCTAAATGGTATTTATCTTCTATGCTCTTCGCTTTATCTTATCAGCTGATGGTCTCTCTTGCGGTATGTAGTCAAATGCACTCGGCACAAATGAGCGCAAATGGAAGGCTTAAGATGGGTTGCAGTTTGGAAATGTGGGGATTCGTCATTCTGCTGAGAATCAAGTCAAATGTCGTGAGAAGTCTGGGAACGGCAGCGCTACATTGTAAAAGACTATGACCTCAGGTTTTAATAGACCAACTGTTATGCATCTACGCACACTAAAAACACATGTGGGAGGGCAGAGGTTGTAGTTCGGTCCTGTGTGTGAACCAATATGAAAGAAGTTTTTGGAGTCGCTGACGTTTCAGTTCAGGTTGCTTAGTCATAATGGATGTTTTATAAGTCCTGCTGTGTTGAAGAAATTTTTGAATTTGAACTTTTGTCTGAATGATATCACGATATGATATGAAGTGTGGATAAACAGAAGGAAGATGGATGGCTGATGTTAAGCATGAGCTGTCAAGACAAGTGTCTTGGGTGTAAATGAATGACTTGGGAAAGAGCCAAGCACCCCCCCCCCCCTCCATCATACCTCTGGGTCTTTCCAGTGGCTCAGCTGCCTTATTTGCGATGAAGACTTTGTAGTGCCCTCAGAGATGGTGGCAATATATGACCGATTAAAAATGGAAACGGCAGAAATCTTGTTTGCTGAGCGAACACATTTATATGGTATAGTATGGAGTCTGGAGTTTTTTTTTTTTGTAGTGAATTTGCCAGTTGCCCGCAAGCTCTGCGTCCTGTTCTGCCAGTCTGTCGAATATCTCTCTCTACACCATCTCATTGGTGCTTTTTATAAAGTTGCTCATCTGCCAGACCCCAAAAAGCAAGCAAACTCTCAGACTGTAGGGAGGTGTCTTGGAAATGAGTATTGAATCATGGGATACTGGTGGACTCTCTAGATCAGTGTTTCCCAACCCAGTCCTTGGGGAACCACAGATGCTCCATATTTTTGCTCCCTCTCAGATCCCTGCTAGACAGTCAAAATTTTTGGTAGGGAGCTGGAAGGGAGCAAAAGTGGGTCCCCAAGGACAGAATTGGGAAACAGTAGGCTCTGGATGGTCTTGTTGGTAGTAGAGAGAGCTTTTTCTACCTTCTCCTTCTCCTCCCTTTTCTCCAACTCCTTCTAATTCTTCATCTTCTTCTTTCTCCTCTCTAATACAATGAGTGGCAGCCATCTATGCCTGGAAAATGTGCTCCTGAACATGCAAAACCACAAAAGCCTTTCTATCTCTGGAATCTGGCACTAGGGACCGTGCAGCTCATTAGGCTGCCGCCACAGAAACCGAGATTGACTGAGACTGACACGGTGAGGGACGAGGAGAATCACATTACTTCTGTTATTGTTTGTCTCCCGCATCCCCTTCGCCACCTGTGGCTTCATTAATGGTTCATATGACCATGAAATGCTGCTGGATGGTTATCAGGCTCCAAGTCATCGATTATTTTTGCTAAATGACAGTGTTAGTGTTTCGCAGATGCAGAGATGTGGATGATAAGCAAGGAGGAGATGCAGCTTGAGGAGTGGTGCCTGGTTTTTACCATGTTCTTCTGGGTAAACCCTTCTCTCTGCAAAGGACTCAAGCATCTTGCATCCAGATATTAGCACAGATTGACCAACTTGCGCATGGAACATTCATACTTTTCAGTACCAGTGGCCTGCTGTGGTATTGTTTCTTTGGGTTAATGGGTTAACTTTTACATGGGCAAAGGAAAGAGGTTAACCGCATACTATCTTTGTGCAGTATAGTCTGTCGGTGAAACTAATTACTTAATAAGGTTGCCTAGTTCTCGTGGTTTAGAAATAGACTAGGACACAAGGAAATGAACTTTCTTCCTACTTTTCTGGAGTAGTTGAGAAAGTAAAGACTTTGATCAGCACCTCTCTCTCTACCAATCTCTACGGTAAAATCCACCCGGCACAGAAACCTCTACTGGTAATTAATTAACTTTATTATCTCAACAATTAATTAGATATGCATACCAACAGAATGCAATTTGTTCTTCAAATATCATACTCTGAGTATGTGGAAGACAAAAGGACTTGTGGCATCTGTTGGAAGTATGCAACATTCGCCTGCCGTTTTGCAATGGCGTGTACCATCGATAACGTCTCTGTCTTAATATTTATGGAAGGCACGCGAGAGGATCGAGCATGAAGACAGTATGTCTGAAGACAAGGCAGTGTCTCCAGTGGTACTGCTGTGTCAGACTGAACATCAGCAGATGAAAAAAGTGGTCCTTTTGTTTGTTGTGGTTCAGTTGAGGTTTTGTTTGCTTTCGTTAAGCCCCTCTTATGCAAGAAGTTGTCAGCGTCTTGTAATGGTGAGCGTAAAGTGCTTCCTCTCTGAGAGGGGGGAGCCCGCATGAGACGCTTTCTGCATGCCCTGCGCCCTAATGCGATTTGCACTTCATGCCGCCCATCTCCCCACAGGATGGTCGGGTGCGAGAGGTCCTGGGCTTCGGTAAAGGGGATGGCAGCTCCGTAGAGGGCAAGCTGTTGACAGTGGTCCACGGGACTGACCTTGTCAATGTCACCTTCCTCAACTTCCAGGCCATGCAAGAAGACATAGCCAAGGTACTGAAGGTTTATTGCAACTGTCGTCGCAGGTTTGGTAGCTGAAAGCCGTGGACTTCATTACGTTTCTCTCCCTCTGGGTCACTCCTCTCTTTTTACCTCCTGATATTTCTTCACCTCTCACTGGTTTCTTTCCTCCCTCTGGCCCATCCATCCATCTTTGCGGTGTCGATGTGGCAGGCCACTTCTTGCCGGTGGTTTTCTTGGCACACTTTGGCTGTGCAGGGTGGGGTAGGTGGCGGTGATGATGATGATGATGATGATGATGCATGTGTGTTCAGGTGTGGACCGAGGAGCTCTTTAAACTGGCCACCAACATCCTGTCCCAGAATGTGTCCCGCAACACGTTCCTCTTCAAAGCGTAAGTGTGTGTGTGTGTGTGTGTATGTGTGTGTGTATGTGTGTGTGTGTTTGTCTCCTTATCCCCCTAAATCCCTCTAATGAGACATGATTAACAGAGTAAATCAATAAGAAATCAAACTAGGACTGTTCACTCTTTCTCTTCCTCTGTGCCATCAGGTATACAAAGTTAAAACTGCAGATAAACCAAGACAACAAGATCCCTGTGAAAAGGTAGGTTTGGGCCTTTTAGGTCGTTCTGTGACCGTGTGACTGCGGTCGTACCTGACGTGAGCTTCTGCTTTCATTCCCACTTTCGTTTCTCCCTCCACCGCTTTATTTTTCGTTTCTCTCTCCCTCACTTCACCTTGCCTTCACTTCTAACGACCATTTCTCTTTCTTACCCCAGCATCCTGAAGATGTTCTCAGATAAGAAGCGCGTGGAGATGGCCTTGGAGCAGTGCGGCCTTGTAACAAATCGGGTGAGCGGTAACTGATTGTCCATCGATCTGTTCTCTGCGATGTGGTTAGCTTACCGCCTGACTGTCTCCTTGAGGGGTGATAGGCTGGGTTAAACCCCACCCCCTTTTACCCTTGAAGCTTTGCCCAGTCAACTTGAATCCTTCCCAACCTACTAAGGCACAATCACCCCCCTCTAAGCCCTGCAGACCATCACCAAGGATACCAAGTGAAATTCAATGCTCTTCAGCTTCCTTGTACACATGCGTTTTATTGGAATATGGCGCCTCCTGCTGGTGTAATATAATTTAGCCTGTTTAAACCATTATTTTTTAAATGTGATAGATATTTACAATAGTTAATTATGTATTATTTACCATTATAATTCACCGAGGGTGGGTTTTCTAGAGTAAGCTTACCAGGTACCTTTTCGTACAGGTTTTGTTCTGACCTTTCCCTTATACTCTTACCTTTCATTTTCTTGGCTTTTCTTCAGGCTGAGGGGATTAAAGCAGATGAGTTTACTTGGGAGAGATTCCAGAACTTTATCAACAACTTGTGCCGGAGGCCCGAGATAGAGCCAGTCCGTGTGCATCTGTGCGTGCGTGTGCACACGCTTGTGCATGTACACTTGACTTCTGTCACTTTACTTTCATGTGCTCAGGAGATCCTTATTAATCTTAGCATTTGTGATCTTTTGTATGTTGACAACAAAATAAATTTAGCAAAAGTAAATAAAACCTGGAATTCTCTGACCTGGAATTGCTAATTGAGAGCCTGGCATGTCTTCTCTTGTGGCGATTTCATTTGTTATCTTTCCTCCTTGCCCGGTTCCCCCGCGGCCCTCAGCGGCTCGAAGGGGAAGCCTTTCCTGTCTCTGGACCAGCTCCTGGACTTTGTGAACAAGCGGCAGCGTGACTCTCGCCTGAACGAGGTGCTGTACCCGCCACTGAAGAGGGACCAGATGCGGCAGCTGATGGAGAAGCACGAGACCACCAGCAACCAGCTGGAGCGCGGTGAGGTGCCTGTGAGTGTGAGAGTGTGTGTGTGTGTGTGTGTGTGTGTGTGTGTGTGTGTGCGCGCGCACACGCACGTGCCGCTATACCCTGCTCTGCTCCCGCAATAATTGGACACCCAGAAGAACTGGCCCTTTATGCTGATCCCTCCAGATAAAATTTTTCTTCCCCTGAGTTTGTCAGGTTTTATTAGTTTGTTGAGAGATATTTAGAAATGGTGCACAGTTCCCAGATTACAGGCAGCCTCGTGTGCCTGCGTGACCCTTGCTTTTCCCTCCCGGCACAGACCAGATCTCATTAACGGGCTTCAGCCAGTATCTGGGAGGGGAGGAAAACTCCATCGTGCCCCCAGAGAAGTTGGACATCTTGGACGACATGACCCAGCCGCTCTCTCACTACTTCACCAACTCCTCCCACAACACTTACCTCACAGGTGCTTCCCCATACAGCCCGCAGATGGTGCATACCCCCTCATGGGGCAGGAGAAGAGTCACATGCCGCACATCTGATTAGGAGAAGGCCAAGTACACGAATACATACTGCAGCACGAGACGACCTGTAACATATGAGGGGGCTTGAAAGGTGATGGGCTCAAAGGGTGGTTGTCAGAGTGTGTGAATGATGAGCACATGCTATATCTAGTTATGGATACATTTTATAACTTTTCCACATCGCGATTTGCGCCGGGGGCCCCTGGGAAGTAACGTTACACAGTAATGCTTGTGCTAATGTAATGTTACATGGTGGGATGCGTCTCGAATGACAGCCTAGTATCAGCCTCTGGGGTCCCTTGGTTTACTCCACTTTTCTACTGCACAGGAGTTTTTCTTTCTCTTCATACAGTGAGTAGCCAGTGTAATGAGCGTCCATGTCGCGTTTAGCTTGATTATATTATTATATAATAAATAAAAATATATTTTTAATATATTTGTTATATTATTGTATTTATTATATAATTGTGTATCTTAATGATAAGCTTCACCAGCAATACATATTTTGTTATTTTTAGTGTTAAAATTCTATTAAATAATAAGTCACTCTGAACAGGATTGCATTAAGTATTGAAGTTATTGCGGAGAGTTTGAGGTGTTATTTGGGGGTGGGACCAGCCTCAGGGTGGGTGTGGCTTGTAGACTGCGTAATGATGATGAAGTTGGCTTTGACGTCGATGTTGACTTTGACGTTGACGACGTGCCGCCTCCGGCAGTGGGCCAGCTCACGGGGCTGTCCTCTGTGGAGATGTATCGGCAGGTTCTGCTCACCGGCTGCCGCTGTATCGAGCTGGACTGCTGGAAGGGCCGGCCACCGGAGGAGGAGCCCTACATCACCCACGGCTTCACCATGACCACTGAGATCTCCTTCAAGGTGCCTCCGCAACTCCCACCCCCCTACTCGTGGTCAAGCGTGGCCGACAGCCCCTCCGTTCTGGCCTGAGCCCACCAACGTGTCTCCCTCTTGCAGGAAGTGATCGAGGCGATCGCCGAAAGTGCATTTAAGACATCCCAGTATCCCCTCATCCTCTCGTTCGAGAATCACGTGGACTCGTGAGTACAGATCCTGGCTGAGAGAGTGGCGGGATGATATGAATTTTTGTTTCAGCCCGACTCTCTGCCCTCAGTGCAAAACAACAGGCAAAGATGGCCGAGTACTGCCGCACAATATTTGGAGATGCGCTGCTCATCGATCCGCTGGAGAAGTACCCGGTGAGTTGGCCCCTGCACCATTAGGGCCAGGTGATCGGAGCTGACGCTTGAGTAACAGCATCAGTGAAACAATCCAAAACTTAAACTGGCTGTGTGGGGATTTAAGGGAAGCAGTGACTCTCTTCTCCACTGTCTTAGCGATTCATGGTAATGCTGTACTGTACTCTCCGCCCGCAGCTGGTCCCCGGTCATCCCCTGCCATCCCCCCAAGACCTGATGGGGAAAATACTCATTAAGAACAAGAAGAAGCACCACCACCGGCCATCCAGCAGGGGCAGCGTGAGGCGCAAAGAAGAGGGTGGCGAGGCGGCCGAACAGGCCTCCCCCAACAATGGTGAGTCCTACTCCTCAGCGGCCTTCCTTCCACTTCCTGTAGTTGGCTGTGCAGTGCCTTTGTCCCGGGTTCTCCTCCTTATCGGGCTAATCTGTGCTCCACACTGATCATAAAAAAGCCAAGGTGAAGATTCACTTTATGCAATGTTTAATTGGTGTATTTGTAACGCAAAGGTAAAACAGTTGATGTGATGGAACATTATTTAGCTGTTATCATAAATGTGAAAAATGTTATCCCACGAAGTATATTGGTTTTCAAAATGTCATGCTGTTGTATTATGTCATATCATCATGTGTCTCTAGATTGGTCTTTGAATGATGGGGAGGCGGGGCAGCTACTGGCCAATGGGGAGGAGAAGCTGGCTGAGGGACTGGTCAAGGATAGCGAACCCCACAAGTCGATTGGTGCGTAGCTCAGAGTGACGGGGGCTGTGAGACAGCAGGGTGAGGTGCCCGTAGAGTTTGTTGTGGGACAGAAGAAATGACCTTTGGTTTTACGATCAAGGTTACGCAGAGAGTGAAGAAGAGGAAGATGAAGATCAGGTGATGGACCTGAAGAACATCAAGAGCATGCCTGACGAGGTAGGAGTGATGTCTGCTTGAGCCCCCCGGCTCCTATTTTCACCTTTGTCATTGAGTGTGACCTGGATCTCAAAGCAGTTTAGTAAGAATTCTCACTGGTATGTTTTCTGACAGGTAAGAATCCTGACAGGTATTTTTTTTTTACGTAACAGGCTTTCAAAAGCATTTCAGTCTATGTTACCAAAAATACAGCGAAACAGTAAGATTCCTCTGTCCCATTTGCTGTTATAAATCACAAAGAAGCAGATAATCTTGTTCTCCTTCCCCATCTCCATCTCTCTCGAACCCAGGGCACGGCGAGTAGTGAGGTCAACGCCACGGAGGAGATGTCGAACTTGGTGAACTACATAGAGCCGGTGAAGTTTAAGAGCTTCGAGGTGGCGCGCAGTGAGTCCTTCGCGACGGGCTGGTCCCTACCCCCCTGCTCCGGTGACCTCGTTCCTCACCCACCCCAAGTGTCATTTTTCATATTTCATATTTGCTGCCAAAATGGGTCACCTAATCGTCACACAGACTTTAACAGCAATATGACCTCGCCGTCATACCATGGATGCTCCGTGTGTGTTCTGAATCGTTTTCATATTCCTATTGTATGTTTTTGTTGTCATTAACTGTCATTGGCTGGGTACCGGCTACTTGTATTAAAAGAAGATATTGAGCCATCACTGTTAATTATTCCTGTCAACTCCCGTAGTTTTCCATTGCCAGTGTTTGTGGGATTACTGGTACGATTTAATATTTACTGCTCCTTCATACTGAGGGAGAGGTTTCATTTAAGCAGTGTCGTAACAATATATGTAAATTTATGTTTACTTGTACTACTTATGTGTGTCCTGATCATGAGTTGGTGTCTTTAAAACTGCCTCAGTCTGATTCTTAGAAGATAAGTATGAAGTATGATGTCTGCCTTGTCCTGAGGTGCCATACCAATCACCACCATGTCTACATTCCACAGACAGGAACAAGTTCTTCGAGATGTCCTCCTTCGTGGAAACCAAAGGCATGGACACACTTAAAAGTTCCCCGATTGAATTTGTGGAGTATCCTTAAAATGTCTCAAATGCAGGTCTGGTTGGAAGTTTGTTTGGCCATCTCTCTCCTGTTCTTCATGGTTCCCTGTCTGTTTTTACCTTTCCATTAGGAAGCGTAACTTCTCAGTGCCTATTCCTGTCTCCGAAGGTGTTCTGTGTGTTGATGTGTATCTCTGCAAGGGCCCTTAGCTGCTTTTGTACAGATACAATAAGAAGCAGCTTAGCCGTATCTACCCTAAGGGGACCAGGGTGGATTCTTCAAACTACATGCCTCAGATCTTTTGGAATATGGGTTGCCAGATGGTGGCACTCAACTTCCAGACTCTCGGTGAGTACCGATCCTTAATTTCGTACTTTGGTATTGTCACTCCTAGTTCAGTAAGCTGTCTTTTTTAAGTTTCCCTGCTATTTCAGAGTGTCATTGTCCTTTCTTGCTGCTCCTCTAACACATATCTGAGTTGAGGAATCTGAGGTCATTTATATTATTCCTGAGGGGATGATTCCAATTAATAAGATGATTTTAAGATGTCGGGGTTTTAAGATGTCGAAGGCTTTGTGTCCCCGATCCTGATGTAATTTGCTTATTATGCCACTATGCGCTCCATATCTAAAGACTTTTTACTGTTTTCCTTCTCCGCTTCCCTCATTCAGACCTGCCCATGCAGCTGAACATGGGCGTGTTTGAGTATAACGGTCGCTGCGGCTACGTGCTCAAACCAGAGTTCATGCGGCGTACCGATAAACACTTCGACCCCTTCACTGAGAACATCGTGGACGGCATCGTCGCCAACACCGTAAAGATCAGGGTGAGGCCCGCGGCTGGGTAGCTTTCGGCTGCATAATCCCTCCATGTTTTTACACTCCTGTTTGTTTTGTCTACATTGGCCTCTCGGTGTGTCAATCTTATTAGGTGATCTCAGGCCAGTTCCTGTGTGATAAGAAGGTCGGCGTGTACGTGGAGGTGGATATGTTCGGCCTACCCGTCGACACCAAGCGCAAGTTCCGCACCAAGACCTCCAACGGGAACTCCCTGGACCCAGTGTGGGATGAAGAGACCGTCTTCAACAAGGTAGTGATGCTCCTCCTTTCACAGACACGCAGTAGCTCTAAACGGACGGTGAAACCCATCAAGAAGGCTGTAGGTTGACTATATCGGTGCTGAACTCCATCAGTCACCATGCATGCTGTGTTTTTCCAGCATGGTTAAGCTGGTATGCCATGTGCTTCCCCTGAAACCTTCCCAGTGAGATACCGCAGCAGTGACACAGTACCTACACCTGCTTATTCAAGCAGTCAGGGTCTGACATGAACACTCACCAGGTACCAAATGTGGGTAGATTTTCCATTTGGCAAGTAAATTCCGGAAGACTATCCACCACACAGACCAGTAAACCTTTGTACCAAAAGTCACGTGACTTTAAAAGTCTGTTTTAAGAGTATCTATCGCTTTTGAATTACAGGCATTCTGCTTCTGTCCTCTGTGTCAGAGTTTGAGACACACACACACACACACACACACACATGCACGTTCTGTGAAGGCCCACCCTTCCTCTGCCTCTGTTTGCGTATCTGAGCTTGGCAATTTTTCTCTAAGCTTATTAACCAACCACCAACTAATGACCGTAACCAAACAATCCGCAACCAATCAGAGGCAGAGTAGAGGCGTGTCTTCGCAGAATGCGAGTAACTGTCACTTGCCGCCAGTCTGCTGCTAGTTACCATCAAGCTAATTAAAAGTGCTGCGGCGATTCTTTACAAGGAGTATGGCAACCTTTAAAACGAAAACAAATATATATGTGACTCAAACCGACAATTTATTATTTTGGCCAGTAAGAAAGACGCGCCCAGTGGACTTTTTTCATCTACCAGCCACCCTGACCGATGAGTCACAGAGTTAATTTCGGACCCTGCCTGTTCTCCCTTTGCCCCTTGACTTCCTGTTGACTTTGTGTGGCTCCTCGCTTCCTGGTTCTTCAGCCAGTTCCTCATGTCCCTCCCCCAGGTAGTGCTGCCCACCCTGGCATCCCTGAGGGTGGCAGTGTATGAGGAGAATGGCAAGTTCATCGGCCACCGCATCCTGCCAGTGTCTGCCATCAGGCCAGGTGGGCGCCCTTCCTGGGCATCCTGTCTTCTACTTCCCTGCTCTACCTGCCCCGTCACCCGTGCTCCACCCTCCGCTCTCAGCATGTGCTCTGGTTATATCCTTTGTGTCTTTCAGGGTACCACTACATCAGCCTGAAGAATGATCTGAACCAACCACTGCTGCTAGCCTCGCTGCTGGTCTACACTGAGGCCCAGGACTATATCCCCAATGAGCACCAGGGTGAGGCCTCCTCCGCCCTTCCGTCTATATCGTCTGTGTTTGTGTCACTCGCGCGGTAACCCTCCACCGCTGCCTGTCCCCAGAGTATGCAGAGGCGCTCACCAACCCCATCAAGCACGTCAGCTTGCTGCAGCAGCGGGAGAGGCAGCTGGCCGCCCTCATCGAGGACAGCCACGAGGTGGAGGACCCGCCTTTGCATCTTTGCATATGTCCAATGGCAATACCAGCTTGTGAGTGTCCTGTAACGGCATCCTTCATTTCTTCAGATGGAGGAGAAGGAGTCAGAGGAAAGCAAGCGGTATGTACCGTCCCCCCCGCAGCTGGACGGAGTTTTCATCCCTCAGCCTACCCCTCAGCCCATTCCCGACTTGCCCCCTGCAGGTACTGCTTATGCTCTATAGCGCCCCCTGTGCTGAATTTTTATTAGAATAATATGCTAATGATTGTGTGTGTTATTTCAGGACCGAAAGAAGACCTCATTGGTACCGTCATGGCAGGTATGGCCCGTGTGCCGCTCGGTCCATTTGAATGCTTCCTGCAGGTGCGTCACGTACCCTGTTGGCACCCCACCCCACTGTATCTCCCCCGGTCACCGGATCCTGTGTGTGTTACTCAGACATCCCCCCCCAGTCCATGGAGGAGCTCAAGCAGCACAAGTCATATCTGAAGCTGCTGAAGAAACAGTGTAAGGAGCTGAAGGAGCTGCGCAAAAAACACCTGAAGAAGGTCAGGCGCTCAGGTCCACGCGGATGGGGCTGGATGGGGCTGGATGGGGCTGCATGGGGCTGCATGGGGCTGCATGGGGCTGGAATGTGGTATACATACACGTATACTGGAGGCCCACACAAATATACACATCAACCCGCTGGGACAACTGGCAGATATAACCAAGTGCTGTGTGTGTGTTTGTAGTTATGTATATATTATATTGTGGGAACATGCTTGGTTACTTATGGTTGAGGTTAGGGCTCAGTAGAGGGGTTAAGGTTGTCATTGCTGGGATTAGGGTTATGCCCGTAGAAATGAACGGAGAGTACCCATAAAGATATACAAACGTGTGTGTGTGTGTGTGTGTGTGTGTGTGTGAAAACGCACAGGTGGGTGCCCTCAATAAGGAGCAGCGCACTCGCAGCAGCCAGCTGGAGTCAGAGTCGCAGAGACGCCGCAGCCAGATGGAGAAGAAATATAAAGGCAGCCTGAAGAAGTAAGACAGGGTGGGGCCTCACCAAGGGCTGGGCGGGGCCTCACCAAGGGCTGGGCGGGGCCTCACCAAGGGCTGGGCGGGGCCTCACCAAGGGCTGGGCGGGGCGCTGTGCATGTGAGTGCTGCCACACTCCGGTATCCATGTCTTTGTGCATGTGCCAGCGTGCCTTTGTGTGTGTGTGTGTGTGTGTGTGTGTGTGTGTGTGTGAGGGATTCATGTGTCGTCCGGCAGCCTTGTGCCCATGGCCCCCAGTATTTAATGGGACCTATGTTCCGGGCCCTCAGGGAGCCCCAGGAACCCAAGGAGCTGAAGGCCCTGGAGGTAGAGCTGAAGAAGCAGACGCTGAAGCTGCGTGAGGGGCAGATGCAGGAGCTGCTGCAGCTGCGCCAGATGCAGCACCAGCTGGAGAGGGAGAGGAAAGCGGCTCACCTCAAAGAGGTGCGGATCTCCCCCACCCCGTATCCCCTCATGTCCCTCTCCGCTTGGCAGCAGATGTGTCACGGTGCTCCCTCCTCACTTCAGGCCTTTGAGAAGCTGAAGGAGGCGGCACAGGAGAGCCAGGTCACGCAGCTGAAGAAGCTGAAGGACGTCTGCGAGAAGTAGGAGCAGCACCTGCGTGTTCAGCCGACCGACACGGCTGCAGCCTGATTCTGTGCAATATATTTGTATAAAACATTTGATGTATACATTTTATGTATACATCATTTTATACATTTTTTAAGTTTATCTATATGTTTTATATCCATATATAGTTCCTCCTTTTCCCCTTTCCCTATAAACTACCGGCACTGCAGAATGGTTCTGTGTTAAACCCTGATGTCCGCACTGCAGATAGAGTGGTAGAGATAGGTCTCTATATCGAAAGGCTCTATTTATAGATTTTTACTTTTCTTTTATCCCTCCTTTTCTCTCATGTTTATTTTTGGGTCTTAAAAAAGATACAAGTAAGATGTCAAAACGAGAGAGTGATATTAGGCAGGCAGAAAAATGACCCTAGAGTGCCTTTTCAGGTTTTTATGGGATTGATGAAAGTCTGCATTAAATTTTGATTGCACGTTCTATTACATGCAGAGAAATTGTCATAAAGCTGTTTGTTTGCAGAGGTGCGATTTCAATTGGGGGGGCAGCTGTTAATTTGGATAGTTTTGGATGATTGGAGTGAAATAATGATTTCTAATTCACCTAAATTTTCCACTTTTCTAGTTATTACATACTTTGATGGGAAACTGAAATGTGGTTCTGCTTTCTGCTTTAGAGAGAAGAAGGAACTGCAGAAGATTCTGGACAGGAAGAGACACAACAGCATAAGTGAGGCCAAGACCAAGGATCGCGAGAAGGCAGACGCGTGAGTTTATGTGGGAGTCGCCCCGAACCCAGAGCTGGTATCAGCCATGGGGTCTAGGTGGACTACCCCAGCTCCAGAACCTTCTTCCATTTAGTTTCATACAGAGGCAGGATCACAAGGGCACTTGTTCCACATGAAAGCGATTCTCCACCTGAAACCTGATTGGCTCCTCCTGTGCCACCTCCCCTGTCACTCACCAATTCAAAGCATCTCATTGGCTAATGATAAGGTGGACTCCTCTTATGCTCCCCCACCTTAAAATAATCCTGTAATCGCCCCTGCTTTTATCATCCCGTTCCTGGACTTTGACCTACTACATGATCCTTCCCTACATGCATGTATAAATGCGGCTTTTGCGCAGGAGTGTCATCCAGTGTTTCTAAATATTTTCAGTGACAGAAACCCCACTGAGAATCCCAGTCTGGAATTGGTTGTCATTCTGAGCGGTTGTAGGGCCTGAGTGTCAGGTCACTCTCCTGTAGTCCAGCAGAAGGAGAGGGAGCAACACGGCCCCCTGGGTTCCTGTCACCAGGCTCTGCTTGGACCGGAGTCCAGGAACTGACTTCTCTACTCTGCAGGGAGCAGACAGCTGTTGGTTATTTAATGCCATGCTGCAGTCACGACATGACTGTCATGCTCCACGTCTTAGGTTAAAGCTTAAGATTTCGGTTGTTTTTCACTCCTGCGAGCGCTCAGTGTTTGTATTTTCTTTGCCTGAGGTCAGAGATTGTTGACCTTACCCAGAATGCATCAGCTGTAATGTTGGAACTGGGCAACTATATCAAGCATGCGTGGCTCTTTAAGTGGCCTGGTGCAACATGCACCTGCTGGGCTTCCGTACATTTGATTGGCAGATGCTTTCGTCCCAAGGGATCTACAAGTGAGGGTCAGAGGTCAGGGTCAACCAGTGTCCCTGGAGTAACTGGGGTTTAACCCCCTGGGGTCTGAGGCCTCTTTTCCACTTTCGGGGTAGTCTGACATGCCTTGACATTTTCAAAATATTTCACCTATCTAAAAAACATTTATCCCAAAGTGTTACATGTGCTTTTATTCAGCACAAACTCAGCACCAATAATCTGAGACCTCTTAGAATGTTATTATTCTATTTTTTGTTAAAATCAACTTTAAACATATACTTTTCAAAAACCTATTTTCAGACATGCTGAGAAATTGTAAAGAATCACATTATAGACATTTTTAACCAAGACTTATGAGCTCTGAAGCTTATAGACACAGGGGTTGGCTACACACAGGTGAAAGTGACATTCTGAAATTTTATGTGGTTTGATTACTAAAGTGTTAGAACTTTGGAGTGGCACTCTTTTTCTCAAAGTCAGTGGCCTGCACAATGAATATTGATGAGATAGGTGTCC